CGGTGTGCCAAGAGGCACCCCGCGCCGCCGGGGGGCCTAACCAGCTGCTACGCCTCCTGCCGCCGCTGCTCCCCTCTTCTTTCTTAACCCCTTCCTCTCCCTTATCCCCCCGCCCCATGCGAGCCCTCCCCTGCGTCTCTTTGCCAGAGGGGGCGCTTTCACTCCAATGTTTAAGCAAAAAGCATTTTGTTTGAAGCCGGTGGAGTTCGCTGGCCCCTGCCGGGGGCCCGTCCCCACAAGGGAATCAGGCCAGGGCTTAGCCGGGGTTACTGTCGATCAGTTTTGTATTGCAATGCAGGCTCAGAGCAGGGCCACTGTGCTGGGTGGGGGGCATACCCAAGATGCTCCCCGCCCCGAAGTGCGTACTGTGCGTTGGGCTTGGGCAGTGATCTGGCGGGGGAAGGGGCGGGGGGCTCAGATGTTATTCAGGGCCCAATAAGGAATGGGTCTTGTATCATTCCTGCGCTGGCCGCTGGCAGTCCTCCGCTCAAAGGCAGGGGGGCTCTGGCAAGCTGCCTCCACCGATGGTCTCCACTGCGGCTACTGACTACGAGTCACGCCTAGGACTTTAACAGGGTTCCAAAAAGAGCTAGATGGATTCATGGAGGTTCGGTCCATCGAAGGCTGTTAGCCAGGATGGGCAGGGACGGTGCCCCTGGCCTCTGTGTGTCTGGAAGTGGGTGACAGGGAGGGATCACGTGGGGATTACCTGTTGTGTTCCCTCCCCTGGGGCACCTGGCACTGGCCACGGTCGGCAGACAGGACACTGGGCTGGATGGACCGTTGGTCTGACCCAGGCTGGCCGTTCTTGTGCCTTGCACATTTGGGGGTCACAAGTTATAGGGTTGGTCACTCTGGGTCACCTTAAAAGGGTCTGATTTTCAGAAAAGGTTGCACTCAGGTTAAGAACGTAAGAACGGACGGGGTCAGACCGAAGGTCCATCTAGCCCAGAATCCTGTCTGCCCACAGTGGCCAATGCCAGATAGGGAATCATCCAGTGATCCATCCCCTGTCACCCATTCCCAGTCTCTGACAAACAGAGGCTAGAGACACCATTCCTACCCATCCTGGCTAATAGCAATTCATGGACCTGTCCTCCATGAATTTATCTAGCTATTTTTTTAACCCTGTGAACTTCACAAAGTCCTCTGGCGAGGAGTTCCACAGGTTCACGGTGCGTTGTGTGAAGGAGTACTCTCTTCTCTGAAAGCCAGGCCCCTCTGTGGTGTCTCCAACTGGATGTCCAAAATCAGTAGCCACTTTTCAAAACCTTGGCCGCAGTGAAACTCCAAGCGGTGTCCGGAGGCAGGGAGATCAGGCGGCGCTCTGCAGTTAGAAGGAGAGTTTTCTAGCTTGACATTCAAACAAATTGTTTCTTGTTTAAACATCTAACATGAAGCCAATCCGGCAGCAGATGCCAGCAGTTCTCTGGGAGCCTGATCCCACACGGGGCTTGAGAAACTGAGGGTTGAGACTAGGTTTATGAGGATCGGGCCCTCTGACAGCATCTTGCAGGTGTGATTAGACCCAGCGCTGCCCTGTACGCCTCCATGCCACATTCAATTCTTCACCCGCAATGCCCAGCTTGCAGAAATGGCAGCGGGTGCTCCTGGCTGGGGAGAGCTGAGCAGAACGGATGCAGTTTCCTTTTACGATCATTTATCTTGCACCTCAGGGGCCAGATTTTCAACAGTGGGCGGATGCAACTGCGCATGCTGGTTTGCCCGAGCCCTGCTGATGCCCCAAGTGCAGTTAGCCCCTGCACGGAAGGCTGCCCGAGGCCCAGGTGTGCCCATCGGGGAATTGCAGGCACAGATTCCCAAGGTGTGTGTCCACACATCAAGGCCTGGCACATGCCTGGGGGGAGAAATACTGCCCTGGCCAGTTATGTACCAAGAGATCAATCCTCACCCAGTTGGATTGGTCCTGCCTTGGCAGGGGGCTGGACTTGATGACCTCCTGAGAGAGATCAATCCTCACCCAGTTGGACTGGTCCTGCGTTGGCAGGGGGCTGGACTTGATGACCTCCTGAGGTCTCTTCCAGCGCTACGATTCTATGACTAGGGATCAGCATGTACGACTTCACCAGGTGCATGCACCTGTCTATGATTCTATGACTAGGGATCAGCACGTACGACTTCACCAGGTGCATGCACCTGTGCGCAGTTGCGCCTGCCTGGCTTTGAAAATTTGGCTCCACCTAACTATTTGGCTCCTGTGTGAGTGGCTAGTGCCAGGTGTGCGTCTGTGCGCAGCTCAGTCTTGGCACACGTGTACAGATGCACACACCCGGCATCCCTGGGACAGGCGGGCAGCTGCCCCGGCGGGTTTGCTGGAGGCGCTGGGTGGAGATGGGAGCATCGCATCATGCTCTCGTGTCGGAAGGCTCCGGCAGATCATTAACCCTTTTCCTGCCATCTTGCTTGTCTCGACCATTTCAGTTTGTGGGCGTGACCTATGCCCTGACCATCCTCTGGCTCCTGGTGTTTGCCTGCTCCGCCGTGCCCGTCTACATTTACTTCAATACCTGGACAACGTGCCAATCCATTGCCTTCCCCAGCAAGACCTCTGCCAGCATAGGCACGCTGTGTGCTGATGCCAGGATGTACGGTGAGCTGGGATTGCTTCTCTCTCCTAAGCACCAGTGAGATCTGGGGGTCATTGAAATCAGTGGCAAGACGCCCACGGACTCCAACAGCCCCTGGATTTGGCTTTGCATTCTACACAGCCTTCAAGAAAAGCCGGTGATGGGGCAGGGGGGATGAGCAGAGCCCTCTGGGAGGGGTCAGCAGGGTCTCGGGGAGGACGATGGAACAGAACAGACAGGCAGATACAGCAGAATTTGGTGGGAGGCGCTTGCTGCTAGAGATCGCCCACGCGGAGGGTTTGTTTGCACTGCAACCTGATGTGGCTGCAGCTTATAGAATCCTAGAACCCTAGACCTGTGGGGGGGGGGCACCTCGAGATGTCATCGAGTCCAATCCCCTGCCCTCACGGCAGGACCAAGCACCTGCTACATCATCCTGATAGATCCTGCTCTTCAATATCTCCAGGGATGGGCATTCCACAGCTTCCCCTGGCCAATTTATTCCAGTGCTTCACCACCCTGCTAGGAAGTTTTTCCCAATGTCCAACCTAACCCCGCTTGTGTAGACATCTGGTAGCACAGCTCCAGCTGGCACAACAGCCTGCTCTGCAGTGTGGGCCACACAACCGAGTAGTCGCTCAGGCTACAGTGCATGCTGCTGCTGCTTCTCCGTGCCAGGCTGGCAGTGTGTTCGTCCCGCTAGAGCAGAAGGCCCCTCTGGCCACGTAACCGACCTGTCTTCTCCATGGAGCAAAACATAGGGGACAAAACAGAGCCGGGTTTCTGGTGCCCCCTGTGGAGCTGCACTTGGTTTGCCCTGGATGACTTTTGTGTCTCGTGGATGTAGGTGTCCTCCCATGGAACGCGTTCCCAGGAAAGGTGTGCGGCTCCAACCTCCTGTCCATCTGTAAGACCCCCGAGGTGAGTGCCCTGCAAGGTCTCAGCAGCCACCCGGTCTCAGCAGGCACCGGGATCTGGAGAGGCCGCGCTGGAGATCTCGGTGCCAGGAGCTGATGTGGGTGGCATTCTGAATCGGTGTGACGCTAGGGCTGGTGAGAATTTCGGTAAGGGCTTTGAGGCAGGGAGCGTGGCCTTTCTGTGTCTGGAGAGCGCAGGGCCCCGCTTGGCTGCTATCACTACTGAAATGGTAAATTAACATCCCGTGAGGTCACAGCTCACTTTAGAGGCAGTGGGCTCCAAGCTGGGTGTGCTCGCAGAATCAGTGAGCCTTGTTCTCCTTTCGCTCACACCACGAAACTCCTTGAAAGTCAACGGGTTACAACACAGGAACGGCCCGACTGGGTCTGGACAAAGGTCCGTCTAGCCCAGTGTCCTGTCTGCCCACAGTGGCCAATGCCAGATGTCCCAGAAGGAATGAACAGCACAGGGAGTCATCAAATGATTCCTCTCCTGTCATCCATTCCTCTGGCAGAGGCTAGGAACACCATTCCTACCCATCCTAGCTAATAAGTAATTTGAACCCTGTTAAAGTCCTGGCCTTCACAACATCCTCTGGCAAGGAGTTCCGCAGGTTGACTGTGCGCTACATGAAGAAAAACTTTTTTGTTTGTTTTAAACCTGCTTCCTATTAATTTCATTTGGTGACCCCTAGTTCTAATGGGAACAAGTTTTAAATCATTTTTCCTTATTCACTTTTTCCACAACAGTCATGATTGAATATTCCTCTATCATATCCCCCCCCTTAGTCTCCTCTTTTCTAAGCTGAATATCCCTTCATATGGCATTTGTTCCAAACCCCTCATCTTTTTTGTTGCCCTTTTCGGAACCTTTTGCAATGGTGCGAGAGAGACCAGAATCAGGCCCAGTGAGCGTAGAGAAGATGACACAACCTGGTTTAATGTCCACGCAGCAGCATAGGTGCTGTGGGTTCACAGCCTCGCTCTGAAGGGACGAAGATACAAATTTGTTCAGGTCAGAGCTGGGTTGTTTTAGATGAACAGGGCAGCGAAGCCTAAAACCATGAATGTGAACAGCACAGATGGTGAATTATTGAGAAGACAGCCCAAGGTTAACTAGGAGGTAGCCATGTTGTTATAGTGCAGAGGTCTACTGTTGGAAACATCAACCGAGAGCACGTCCATGTGTGGTACACCTCTGTCCCCCCTCCCTGTAGTACCTGAGCCACTTTCAGTATCCCGATGAGGTAGGGACAGCCCATTATCCCCATTTTACAGATGACAGTCGAGGCACAGAGAATAAGTGATTTGTATGTGGTTACAAAGGAAGGAGCGGAAGGACTTGCGCCCAGCAGACCCTCATGCCCATCACTGCCCATGCTGCTGGGACTGTAGCTGGCCTCTCATTGGCTGGCTCCAGAGATCCAGTCTGACTTTGTGAAGAAAGGCCCGTTTGTGGCTACCTGGAGGAAACCCCCTTTGTCTCTGCTGTGGGGGAAACATCTGTAAACGGTGGCTCATGGTGTCATTTCCTTGCAGTTCCAAATGACCTTCCACCTGTTTATTGCCGCATTCGTTGGTGCTGCAGCCACCCTGGTGTCACTGGTGAGTCAATGCTCCGCCTAAACCTTCTTTTCCCGTCCTAAGAGTCACTGTTGGGAGGCAAGATCGCGAAAGCCAGGCAGCGGGGAGGCGAGAAACTCACTTCACACGGAGCGCCTGGTTATTTCCTCCTGGCTCGTTAGAACAGGGCCATGGTTTTTAGAACCAAGAAGGCAGCAGGAGTTGCGGCTGGAAAGGGGGATCATAAGGAGAGGTAGAGAGCGTCACAGGCTTCAAGATGATAGGCTTGGATGTGACCATTTGGCCTGAGTAGTCCATTCTCCTGCAACAAGCAGGAGCTGAATTGTATGCAGCCGTTCCCTGAACACCTCACGTAACGTGCACTTCATCAGGGACAGTCCGTGCTGTTGTTTTTGCAGCAGTATTACTGGGGAATGGGCTGCTGAAACTACTGGGAAAATTGACGGTGCCTTGGTAAGCTTATTGTTGGTCCAACCAAAAAAAAAAAGGTGTCCAAAAAGCCTGGAGAACAGTGATTGACGGGTGTTCAGAAGGTCATCTCAGGTGTCCTGGAGGGAGGTGGCCAACCACTTTGGAAGGGGATGGAGTAGGGGATGGCTTCGCTGAGGTCCATGGATTTACCCCCTCCGGGGTTTGGCCCAGCCCTGCTTTGCTGTGAACAGAACGTTTGTTTGACTCTTCCCATTTCTCACTCGATTTTCCATCCCCCCCACAGCTCACTTACATGATTGCTGCGACTTACAACTTTGCCGTCCTCAAACTCATGGGCCGAGGCACAAAGTTCTAGGCTGCCGGAGGGAGTTGAGCTAGCCGAAATGCCCTTTTCCCTCTAACCACGAGGCTTTAACAATGCAGCCAGCCCACACCAGGCCTCCGACTCTAATGCCACCTTCACCGCTGACTCCCCCTCCATCCCCTCGACGAGCGTAACAAGGGCAGAGAGACCGCCGACGATGGATACACCCTCATGCACTTTTCTCTCTGGGCACGTCGGTAGCTCTGTGGCTCCGCGGCAAGTGGGGCCGGCAATTGGGAAAGCCCCAACGAAGAGGGTTTCCTGCCAGGCCAAAATCAGGATAAAGCAGACGTGGGATTCGTACGGTCCCCAACTTTCCACCATTTTCTAGGGTTAGGAACGAGCCTTTCTGCTTCTGGGAGGCAGGAATCAAAGTCAGTTGCTCTCCTATGAGGGAGGAGGATACTGCTTGCTGCACAGAGGGAGAAGGAAGTCGTCTGGCCCGGGTTCCATCGCTATAGACTCTCCTTGTTACAAAAGACACAGTCCTCGCTTCCATCTTCATTCCGCAGATGGAGGAGAAGAGGACTTTTTCATGGTAAAGAAAGAGAATTTACCCTCCTCTGCCTGCTGTAGCCAGAGTACTAGGGGTTTAGAGCAAGGATCTTCCCAAAGCGGGGAGAGAGCACAGACCCCTTGCTAGTCTTCCTTAACCCAGCCCACCCTACTTAAAGCATAAAGGAGCTTGGTGTCTGTAGACAAATGGGACTCTTGGTCTTACACCTCAACAGAAATAGGGTTAGAACGGTCTCCGCCTTGCACGGGACTCACTCCCCATGTGCCCTGCTGCAGGAGACCAGCTTGGCCTAGAGGGACTTCTCAGACCAGTGGCCTGAGTGTGTAAGCCAGACGGGTCCCTTTTGTAGACACGGGATAACTCTTTGGACTGTATGTCTTTGCGTGTCTTTTCTCTTGTAACCAGCTGTGCACATTGAACTCTGGCACACCTTCACAATGGTGCTCCTCTCCTCGGGTGACGTTTGCTTCCGTGATGCTCTGTAAATCGAAGATCTTGATTTGTTTCTGCGCCGTGTCAAATTTCACCTCTTCCTCGCACCCACCCGCTCCCTGTTCCTCAGGGGTTTCCCGGGAGCCAGGCTGTCTATTTTAAAAGTGGCCAACACTTAAAAAAATTCCGTGTCTCCTTTTGAGCCAGTCATTCAGAAGGCAAATAAATAAACGAGTAAGGGGGCAGAGCGTGCTCTGCACGGTCGGATTTGCACGGTCGTTAAATACGGCCATTTCTGAGCAAATCAAAACCCTCCGGCTTCCAATTAGGTCTTTCTCACTGGGCAAGTTGAGGAGCCAACGTCTGTCTATGCAGAATGTGATTTCAGTGTTTTCCCTTTTCGCTGGCGACACCAGGATGGGGGGAAAGGGTTGGATTAGTGCAACGTGCTGAAGAGAGGGGATGGTCCCTCCTTTCTAGAAGCTCTCAGTGATCACACGACCACAGCAGCCCACAGAGAGGGAGGGAGGAGCCCGTGTCTGCTGAAAACGCCTGTTTCCAGCCTTTCCCCTTCTGGTTTTATGAACTCCAGGAAGAGGCGTTTGGCTTGGTGTTTATCGAAGAATCTACTTGCAGCCTGCGGGGTTCCGGCAGTGGTTTCAGTGCGGGTGTGGGTCAGCAAGCAGGCCTACCACGCAGGGAGCATGGGGCGTTTTTGCCACCACATATGATGAAGTAGATTAGTTAGGCTCCCAGGGTACATGGGTTTGGGGAGGGGATGGGATGAAAGGGGGTAGGGAGGACGGGGGTGGGAGGAAACCAGTCAAGATCAGGAAAATGGCGTCTTGTATTTTGTATTGATTTAATAACATAACAAATAACCAACCCCCTCTCCCGCCACCCCCTCTCCCTTCCCCAGGACCCCAAACACACACATCTCACACACACACACACACACACACACAAGTTAATCAAATGAAAGTGTTTCCTTCCATTCTGCTCTAGAATTTCAACCTTTTAACCAATAAAAAGGAGCAAGTTTGGAGAGACTTGTCTTACAAGGTGTATTTTATCAAATTAAAGGAAATAAATTAAAATTAAGACCGTTCTGAACACGCTTGTCTGCCTGTTTGTCTGGGCTGGCCTCCGGGAGATTGACCTTGCTTTGATACTAATTCTTTGGGGTTATACTTCCTGGGGGGGGCGGGCGGAGAGTCATGGGGCCCCACCCTATATATGGCCGTGCCAGGCCGCTTCCTGGCCAAGCCAGAAGCTGGAGCTGGACAGGGAGCCAGGGCCCCTAGTGCTGCTGAGTTGAAGCGGGCTAAGAGCAGCCCCCAGCTTGTAACCCCCATGCCCCAACGGGTACCCCTGGCCTAGGCATGTGGACGTGCCATAGCTCCCCCAAAGGCTTGCTAGGGCTGCTCTGCCTGAAGTGCTTCTGGGAGATCCACCCCCCCCCTATAAACCAGCCTATGAAAATCTCCAGGGTTGCTCACAACGGTCGCTGGGAGAGTGGGGCCGATTCTGGGCGACTCCAGGCCAATCCTGGAAGGTTGGAACCCTAATGTCCGTGTGGCTCTTCCCTGGACCCAGAGCCAGCTTCCAGCCTGGGGGGGAGGGGCAAGGCCTCAGGGGGCCACAGAGCCACAGCCGGACCACGGTAAGGGCCACTTGGGGAGCCGTGGACTCTCCATCCGTCCTGGGCACGGAGTTCAAGGGGCCGGGGACGCAGACCAGGGGCTGCTCCAGGGCCCCTCCCCACAGGCTCCCCAGGCCACTATTACCGGGGCCGGGCTCCAGCTTCAGCTTGGGGGGCAGCCTTGGGGGTAAGAGGAGGAACAGGCCCCACGGCGGAAAGTTGATGGGCCAGGCCTGGCCACTTTGAAAAATGGGAAGCCCTAGGCCCCGCCCAGCGTGTCCTTTCCCGCACCCCTGCTCGTAGCGTCTGGCGAGGGCTGCAATCAGAATGAGCGCCGTTTAAATGTAGTGTCCGCCTGGTCCCGACTCTCCCGGGCACGGAACGGTGTCGTCGGCAGTGAGGCCTCTGTGCCGGTTCTCACGCTGTCCAAAAGCCTGGGTTCCATGGACTCGACTGCAACTCCTTGGCAGCTATTTTGTGCAACCCCAGTTCAGCGGCACATACAAAGTCCAGGTGATCCCCTCTGCTGACATCGCTAGGAGAAGCGCATGGACAGACACTGCCCGACCGACAGCCCAGAGCGTACCGCTGAGACAGTGGCAGCACAGAACTGGCTGCCTGGGGAGGTGGGGCTGATCTGAAGGCCTGTCCCAGCCTAGTGGACTAGCAGCTGGGAGGCCCCTGCTGGGGAGGCCTTAGCAGATCAGGGTAGCAGATGTCACGGGGCCGGACTGATTTCACAGTCGGACACGTTGTTCACTGCCATGAGATTGGTGGGACCCTCGCTATAGGAGAAGCTTGAGACGAGACCCGGGAAGAGGTGGTGTCTCTGTTTCCGGAGGCCCTCACATCCCGAGTTGGCTTTCTGGAAGGTGCATTTTAGTTCTTTACAAGCCATTGGGCTCAATACGAGGGGAAGGGTGTGAATGTCAGGGTGTGAACGAGAGATCCGATTTGGGGATCTAGCCATTTAATAATTATGCCAGTGTGGGGTGAGGGACAGGCGCTGCTGCTTTACTGGGCAGTCGGTTTGCTCCCCAGAATCAATTATGAGCAAGTGGGGGTGAGCCAGGGAGCAGCTGAAACACCCAACTCGGCAGGCTAGGGGCAGATATCAACCCTGCAAGGGACAGGTGGGTGGGGCAGTGACTTCACACAGGTCTTTGGCAGGAACTCGGCCTATTGGGCAAGGGTGGGGAGGAGGCTGTGACCTCACAGAGCTCCCTTGACAGTCGAGCTTCAAACCGAAAGGGCAGGTGCTCAGCACTGTCTGAAAACCCAGTCCCATTAAGGGGTCCCAGGTTGGGAGCTGAAAAACGGAAGCATCTCAAATCAGTAGCCGCTTTTCCAGTGTAGACCAGTGGTCACCAACGCAGTACCCGCAGGCGGGGCATTTATGTGCGCTCACCGAACGATCTGGGCTGGCCCTGCCCCAGGGGCGGGGCACATGTGCGGCCCCGCCCCTGGGCGCACGGTGCGTGAGCAGCCCCGCCCCCGGGCGCCCAGCAGCCCCAAAAGGTTGGGGACCACTGGTGTAGACAGATCAGCATGCAGCTAGGTGGCTACTTTGGTGTGGGAATTGATCTTATCTGCTCTTTTTGCTCCTTCAGAAGCAGATCATCATCGCACTCTCTTCAGGGTACCTACCCCCCCGGGAGATAGGGACAAGCTCCCATCCCTGTTTACAGCCGGAGAAGTTAGGCACAAGGAGACTGGTCAACACTAGGAATTGTAATGGGAAACATCCCCTCCCCGAAAAGACATAGCTATACTGAGCCAATCCCCGCCCCGGTGTGGTGATGCTTGGCCAAGGGAGAACTCCGTTGACCTAGCTCCCGCCTCTTGGAAGAATCGAGCACCGGCCCAAGAAGAGACCCACTCCTGTAAGCACAGGCCGCGTGAGAAGTGCAGCACTTCAGGCGTACCGCTGCGCCCCGGTAGCATTTTAAGTGCAGACAAGCCCTGTGATCTAGAACTTTACAGGAATTTAGGCACCTAACTCCCATTGACAAACAGGCTCCCAGTGACTTGATCAAGGTCACATGGGAGAAACCTGAACTCAGAACTCACTGCATCCAGACTCGCATTCTAGCCCCTCGACCGTCCTGCCCCTTGCCTGTGCGTACAATGGCGCCTGTCTGCCTGTCTAGCCACAGTTCGATCTGTCTGGCTACCTCCCCAGCCCTGCGCACCCATCCCTCTGTCAGTCTATCCACACATACACCTCCCCAGATACAGTTTGCTTGATTTCCTTGCACAGGGGTGTTTGGTGTGAGAGGAGGTGACAGGCATGGCAAACTGAAAACATTGCAGTTTGGGAGCATCTCGGTGTGTCTCCGCGCCTCGCTCGCTGGCAGAGTTTGGCTGCAAATGAAACCAGTGGGGAAGACTTGTAGCCATCCCATCACAACGTGCGCTGGAAAAGCTGTGACACTGTCACTGGGCATTGTTATCAAGTGGAATTGTGCCTCTCTGCAGTGTCTGGCTCGGGTCCATTTCTTTATTGTCTTCTCCTGAATATCACCCGGCAAAGGACATTTCTGCACATTGACTTAATGAGTCTGAACTAGCTCATGCTTGTACGCCAATACCAATCCAAACAGTTCCCATAGCTCCATTCGGTGAGGAATAATTTTCCGGTGTATTGTCCTCCTCAAGGCATCCTTTACCTCCTTGCTCATCAGGCTTAAAGGGCTCTGTATGGGGATTACTAGGGTACAGAACACAGACACCGCTTTGTCCTGATCTGCTCAGAAGCTGGGGGGGCGGATACATACAGAGAGCCCCATACAGCACAGCAAACGACCATCGGATGGTGGCAGAAGCAGGTGCTGGAGGCTTTGCACCTGCCCTCAGCAGAGCAGATCCGCTGTGACGTAGTGGGGGTACCTTGCTGGTTGCTGTGCTGGGCAGTGGGTTGTGGGTGACCCCCACTGGCTGCTGGCTGCAGCGCGGCCCAGCAGGGCAGGGGATGAGTCATTATGCAAAGGGGGTTTTGAACCTGTCCGACCAGTGATCTCCCAGGGAGCGGAACAATGGGGAGAAGGGGAGTGGAGCCCTGGCTGGGGGTGTGACGGCGTGTTGGGGGTTCCCCGTCTCCTGCACCCCGAGATGTCACAAACAGACTGCACCAGCCAGTGGAATAGAGGAAGTTTATTGCCTCTCCAGGATACAGCACAGCACAGATGTAGTCTGGTCACAGAACTGGGCTAGGATGCCTCAGGCCCCCTTGAGTTGGGGGGAGACTGGGCCCCTAAACTCCAGCTCCTCTCCCTAGGCTGTCTCCTCCATGCTCTCCCACAGTAACAACTTCCGCAAGATGGCAAAGAGGATTTACACGTAGGAGACAAGGATGATCACAATGGTGACAAAGGTTGCTATAGCAGCAAAGGTGAAATGCACCAGTCCCTCCACGTGCATGCTGGAGCAGGAGATCCTTTGGAGAGGGGGTTGTCACGGAAGAAATGACCGAGCACATTGGAGTGGCAGAAGGACAGACAAAACAAAGATCAAGTGTGGGCAACTGCATTGGTAAAGGTATAGCGATAAGAGCCAACCACCAGCTGGCTGCAGACTCTCCCAGACGTAACGTGATAAAGTGATGGTTTGCAGGTGGCTCCAAAGCGATCGGATGCCATCGCAGCCAGCTCAGTGTTGGCATGCAGCGACAGCAATAAAAAATGAACCACATGCCCTGCCAAAGAAATGGCTTTAATCTCAGCTAAAAGGATTACCAGCGTCCTGGGGCAATCAGAGGAGCAGCCAATATCTAAGACAGACACACTGCTGAGGAAAAACTACATGGGGGCATGGAGTCAGGGCTCATCATGGATTAGCATGCTCATCCCTAGATTGCCCAGCAGGGTGCAGAAATTGCCAGGAAGAGGATAATTTGTCTTTTGGATTGCCTGTTATTCCCTGGAGGATGAAGCCAGGCACTGTGGTACAGTTCCCCAGTGGCATTTCTCCGGGAGATGCTCTCAGCCACCAAAGAGGCGGCAAATCGGAGGCTAGAACAAAGCGTATCTCAAAAAGATTCCCAACGGCTCCACTGATGTCCGGTAAAAATTGGTCTCACCACTTATCACAGCAACGAGACACCAAGGAGGATATTTAACAGGGGACTATTGTGTAAAGCTAATGGGAAAATGGGGCTTTAGTATATTTCATTTCCCATGGAAAATTCCATACTTTCCAGGGGAAATATTTTAGAACATTTTAGCTATAAGGTGATGCAGTTTGTCTGAAAGGCGAAGTATTTTGGTTGTAAATTGTGCATCTTGGGAGATGTAGTCCGAGCTGAGAGCCCTGCCTAAGGAAAAGCATGGGAATGGGAGGAACTTGAACTACAGCTGTCATGAGAGACCATGACAACATTCCCAACTAATCAATTCACATGGGGAGCAAGCAGCTGGCATGGAAAATTTGAAGGAAAAAAATGAGTTTGGAATTTTTCTTGCACTTTTACAGG